TACTATTTTGCTAGAATAGACGAATAAAATAGGAATGCAAAGCTTTTGCATTATTTTGATATCTTCACAGTTACATAAGATATGATGAATAGATTATATCATGTACTCCACACTAAGTAACCAGCATCCAAGATTAGTCCTTATACTCCTTATATAAGTATCTATGCTGATTGAAGAGGTATACCCTTTTCGATTTGAGTTGAGCAAAATCGTTAATAACATCTTCAAAATCTATGTTTTCGAGCATATCACATTCTATCGACATTAGCGGAAAACTATCTAATCTCTCTTGAAACATTGTACTTCTTAATTCATTTCTTATTAGTTTCAATTAGGAGAAGGAGCGTTCCCCAGTGTAGTTAGTTACCAGCATGCTCAGAAGAAAGATTCTCAGTGCGATTTCTACATTAGGAAAGGTGTTCCACTTCTATTTTCTTTTCACTTTTTTTCGAGTAAAGTTTGCGAAAGGCAATGGAAGAGAGAAATTATATTGTAATTCATTAAACATGCTGTTCTCGGTAAGCCTGATTCTCAGGCAAGAGTAGAGTAGTTATCGGGACTAGGAGGCCCCAATCCTCGCGGGGCCCTGGGCACGTGCCCAGTGTGCCCAGTGGGGAAGAGGAGCCTGAAAATGCATGGTGTAATAATTTTTTTTAGTGCACATTAAAAATGTTGGTACCCTCTGCAATGATTGCAGGTTTTGGAGGTAGCAAAGAGGAGATTTCCTATGCTGCATTCATTTTTAATTTGATGCATACAAAAATCGGCACGACTTCTTGTAGGGTATTCATGAAATTCGCAGTTTCTATCTAGCTTTTTCATATCATTGTGCGTGTATGGCAATAGTCTACATAGGTGAATTGAAGTGAGTGTAAAATGCCGCTTTCAATTAATGTGACTAACAGGACTCTCTATGGTCTAGGACAGTCTAGGTCGATCAAAAGCCTTATGAATCTCTTTTGCGAAATGAATACCCTAGAAGCTTCTGTGGCTCTGCCTACACAATAATTGTGTTATTGCTCAACATTGAATATACTAGAGCATAGTAGATGTTTATTAGATGATCTCTATGGAAGTTCCACTTCAAGGTGTTGAAAGCATAATACAACTTGTTCAATTTTTTACAGATAGTGTCAGCTTGACTGTCAAAAGATAGTTTATGGTCCACATTCATGCCTAGAAATTTTGTTTGTTGTGATGCAGATTTTCTGTGCCAATCTTGATTTGTGATTTGATTCTGTCCTATTGTTAGCAGTAACGACAGTAAGTTCTGAAGAATTGTAATAAGTTGAAGGAAACAAATATTTCTATTGCTCATGATCTCACAGTGGCACAAAGAACTAAGAAAGAAAAATTTGAGGAAGATGATGCTGCTCTGGTGAACCAACCTAGCAGTGCACCTTCTACCCCAACAGCTTTTTTTTATCGCTTGGAGCGCATGAAAAGAAATCCCTATAATGTTCGAAGAACATCGTGCGTTCTTAGGGAGGATAGGGACAGGAGGTAGGTATTGGAATTTTTTTGAACTCTGGAGATTATATGTTGTTGGGAATACAATTTGCTCCAGTTGATTAATTCACCTACCAGGGTAAACGAGGTGAGCCAAACACTCATCGATTTGATCATCGTGAACGATTTAGAATACATCACATCTGCAGACATTATAGACATAGATGGTATCTCTGACCAATTCGCTTCAACCTGCGAAATCAAACTCCCTTCATATGAATATGATAAACTCGTAACCCTTCGTGATTTTTTCAAGTTGAATATCAATCTTCCAACGCAAACCTATCAAGTATTAACTGGGACATCATTTTTTATTCTCACAACAATGTGGGTGACATGATCTTGTTCCTCAACAGCAACTTGATAAAAATTTTCAATATTCATACCCCTTATCGTACATTTAGAGCGACCAAGCCACCTAAACCGTGGATCACAAATAACATAAAACAGATGCTCGAACTCAAACACAAAGCCCAATCACGGTATAAGAGACTGAGAACACCTGTGTCTTGGATTTACTACAAAGACCTACAAAACGTTGTATATAGTGGAGTCCGTCGAGAAAAGGCTTAATTACATCGCACGACAAAAAACTCTGGTGCTACTTGGAAGTCAATCAGATTTCCTGAAGTTCTTCGAGATGAAACAACACTGACCATACCAGCAAGACTCCAGAATTTAAAATTGATAAATAAACATTTCACTAACGTGCCGATTTTAAATAAAACTCAGAGTCAGCTGGACCTCATTGGGATGTACTCCATTCCAAAACATGAACCAGTTTTATGGAATCCGTAACTGTAATGAAACACTTGAATGCGATCAAAAGGAACGCTTTAGGCTCTGACGACATCTCTCTCAGAATGTTTAATCTGGTTTTACCCCATCTATTGCATCATATAACATTCATTTTCAACTATGCCATTACTTCATCTACCTTCCCGTCACTGTGGAAGCATGCTAGGGTGATGCCTCTTTCAAAATGCAATAATCCTGAGGAATTCTCCGACTTAAGACCTGTCAGCATTGTACTACCCGCCTTATCGAAAGCCTTCGACATTTCTCTTAAAGAACAAATAACGACGTATGCTGATGAAGAGAACTTGATAATGGACGTCCAATCGTTGTTTCAAGTGTTCACAATTCATTCCATACACATCGGTACATTTCGTATTTCTCCAATTGTACACAGCTTCGATCATTTCATTTTCCGTTACTGGCAAACCCTTTAAGAAGCTCTCAGGGTCTAAATTATTGTTTTCAATGATCCCAATCAGGTTTCCTGAAATAGAGGAAAAATAATCATTGAAAGAGCTAGCAGGTATCGTTAGATCAGATGTTTTTTCCTCGGTTCATTTTTCTTTCGGAGTTGACCCTAACAACACCAGGACTTCCCATGGACGTCCCTGATTTTATACTAGGACATCCCAGGGATGTCCTTTGTCGGGACAACGTACATACTAGAGATGTCCCAGGGACATCCGCTGGCCGCTAAAAAAGGCATCCAAGGGCTGTCCTTCTGGTACGTCCCTGGGATGTACCAAGTACGATGAAAGGATATCCCTAGGACGTTGCAACGATATTCTAGGGACATCCTTTCGACAAAAGAAAAAAAGTTGCAGGTCGTGTAGGGATTGAACCCAGGACCTTTCCCAGATAGCACAAATACCTTTTGAGGCTCTTATGAGGCGTTCACAATAATGTCCTCAGGACGTCGAGGACGAGCCTGACGACATCCCTAGACCGTCCTCCTGTTACCGTTCTCTACATCCTAATAACGTCTTAGAACATCCCTATAAGGTCTTCTGGGACATGTATAGAACGTTATGAGAACATATTTAGGTAGTATTCAACAATGTCTAGGGATAGGTTGATAAAAATTAAATTTTATTGAAAAAATATGGATATCATGATATTTGCGAAAAACTTACATTCTATTATTCATAACTTATTGTGAATATTTTCGTGTTTCGTATCTCAGCTTCTTGTTGAGCACTACTAGAAGTTATTGCCGATTGGCAATGACCCTAGGCGATTGTGTGCTATCAGGGTTCGCTTATCATGCACGCACCTTGCTCTATTGGCTATCATGCCTCCTGAAAATTTATGTACTAAACAGATTTATGAACAGGACTTAACTACAGAAACCTGAATAAATACAACTTCATTAGGAATTGGGTATAATTATTATCATTCTTGGGTGTTTAAAAATGAGGGGCATTATATGCATGTACGATTTCTGTCTGCGAAAAATGGTAATTTCTTAAGAAGTTCTGAGACTTAATTCTTAATTTTCATTACAATCATTTTCGAAAAAATTCAACTCAATAGTTTGATGAAATTCAATGACTCTGATGTGAATGGATATCAGATACTGCAGGGACACGAATAGGATAACCTAGGGATGTACCGGGCGGGATGTCCACTGGACAACCACTGCAGGACATCCCCTGGATGTCCCAATCAGGTCCTTGTACCGCGGGACAAAAAAAGGACGTACCTAGGACATCCCTGTGTTGTTAGGGGACAAGAGCCTCCAACTATCACGGGCTTTGTTGTCAGACTCACTTATGATAAATTAATCGTAGGCTTTCTTTGTTTTGGGTTATAGTGTTTTTTTTAAATTGTATAATTGCTGAAGTCTCTAGAGTGATATTACGAATGAACATCTTACTAAAATAAAGAATCTAAATATTCAAACTACGCGGTCCTAGATTTTGATTTCCAGCATGTTTTCTCAACCTTTCTGAGGTATGTGTAACTAGGAATTCAATAATTATAGTAGCCCCCGAAAATGTATCATGTCAACAGTGTCAACAGTCATAGTGCATGCACACATAAGAACGAAGAAAAATACTTGATTTGATTGGCATGAACAAAAAATATAATTTTTAAATACATGAACCATTGCCAGGATGGCTATGGCTAGTGGCGAAGCCCATGGTTGACTGATGATTCCGACCAACCCAACCAATCCAATTAATTTTTGCCTCCACGCCAACATTTTCTACATTATCAAATACCTACCGTCTCTCCCTTTCCTTCCTAGATACGCACGATGTTTCTCTGCACACCAGAAGATGAACATATTGAAGTTAAATCTCATAGAAGGAAGGGAAATATATTTGATGGAACCTATTTTTGGAATTTTTCATTCAATATTTCTTGACGTTTGACCTGCAGCACATTTATTGTTATTTCCAATTAGGTGTTTGGTAGCAACCCGACATTATACACCTCCCTGTCAAGACTGAAAGCTGTGTACACGCCGTTGGCAAGTACGTACCTACCATAAATAATCATTAATCACTTACCGTATGCGTAAATGAACATTGATATATACCTGCCTACTCTAATTCTCCTGATATCTAGAGTTGAACTATATCTAGGTTTTTTTTTCAGTAGTATCTAGAGAAATGTCAAATTCGGAGATTTTTAGATTATAGAATCCATTGTTATGGTCTGAAGAAAGTCAAATATTTCCGAGTGCTGTTTAAATATATTTCAACGCGTCACAATGAACCTTTGATTTAACTTAATAGAATATTATTGATAGTCTCTGGCGTGAAGCATCCAGGCAGAGATATAAATGAATGAATATTAATTATTGTCAGAATCAGTTGTTATTATGAAATAGTAGTGTACGAAATATTTTTCATCAAATTGAGTTAAAAATGGTGACAATGGAAAACAAGGGTGCAGTAAAGGAAGCGGTGAATTTATTGAAGGAAAAACGGGATCTTGGACTCAAAACTAAAGCTTACTTGAGGAGGTGGATGATATTGTTTGTATTCAGTTATTATGCTTCTGTTAATTCAATTCAGTGGATTGAATATTCGAGCATCACCCATATAGTAGTGAAATATTACAATGTCAGCACTTTGGCTGTTAACTGGACCTCTATAGTGTACTGTGCCGTGTACCCCTTTCTGGTCATTCCTGCTTCATATGTTATAGATAAAAAGGTAAACATAGGGAAGAAATGTATCTGCATCGAAATAACACATTTCTTTCAGGGTTTACGAATGGCTGGTCTAATTGGTTGTATCGGCACACTCATAGGAACAGGTATAAAAGTACTATCCATTAGGAATGATCTATTTTGGGTAGTGTTACTTGGCCAGACAATAGTTTCTGCATCTCAACTAGTGATTATTTGTCTTCCGCCAAAAATCGCGTCTGTTTGGTTCAAACCAAATGAGGTGAGGCAAACATGAATGAATTTTTATGTTATATACCTACATTCACTCAGTATTTTATATTATTATTTATGAAGTTTTGTCATATGAGTAGATTGTTTACATCTGCACTCGCTTGCATAACTTCTTGAAATAATCGATTGATTTACTTCGGCATCATGGATATGTAATATTCGGTGGGTTTGTAGGAATCTACCCAAATAGTGACAGTAGAGATGAGATTTCATATCGAATAATATCTTTTCCAAGATAGTAGGTAATGATATACACTCACTGGCAAAAAAAACCCGACCAGCAAATAATTCAGCCAAGTTGAGCACCCTGTAACTTTTTAAATTCTTGTTCGATTCTGGTAACATTTCGACCAAATCGTAAATTCGTGTTTCGGGATGTAGACCTGTATTTTGATCCTTGAAAAAGAGCTGATTATTAAACAGGAAAAAGACAGAAGTTATAATCTCTCAACCTTAACTTCTTAGCGATCTGTTGCAATAGTGAGTTAAGTGATCAAAGTTAGGTTTATTTTATTTTGGATTGAAGTGTGATCAATTCTTCACACAATCATTTTCGATATCTCCTTTTCAATGATTCTCATAGGAAATATGTAATTTTTTTATTTGTATTCACAATATTTCAGATCATGTTTTGGATTGATGTGATATCTTTTCGTCCCTCCTTAATTCAATGGTTTCTAATTCACGTCGATAACTTATTTTCAAGAGAAGATACAGGTGTTTTTAGGAAGTATAGATTTATTTTTTTATCAACAATAATTCAAAACCTATAGCTTTGGAATGAACTTCTGAGGCTCATTCGACCCCGTTTTCAGATACTTTTCAAAAGCTACGATTCGCCATACAGGTAGAATTGGAGGTAATTCCTCAAGACTGCTTGAGACATTCGATCAACTCGATTTTACGGCGGTTGAGTACTGTATATCAAGCTCGAGGAGGGCATACTTGTTATTGCCTACATCTAGGAGTTCTGCTTACTGTTTGTTTTCAGTAATTGAAGTTCCTCTTTCCTGTTGAGTGCTGAAAAAACGGAATGCTGTCAAGTTTTAGATGCTTCCCAAGTAGCACACATATATTGGGACAATATCGGTGCAATATTACGAAAATATCGGCAAAATATTGTGAAAGTAATATTGGCGAGAAAAAAAATGTGAACATTCGGCGATATTGGTACAATATCAGTTTCCAAATGTGGGTAGAATATTCTCATATTGATATTGGTTGAATATTCGTAGAGTTATATCGGACACAAAATGTAATATCAATATTGGCGAGAAATTAATGGTGAACATTCGGCAATATTGGTGTAATATATGGAAATATCGGTGAATCATTGAAAATCATCATGAAGGTATGTTGTCTCAGAAATATTGGTAGAATATTCTCATACCAATATTGCTGGTATATTCGTGAAGTTATATTGGTCACGAAATGTGATATCAATATACTGGTGCAATATTGATTGTAAATATTGGTACATTATTGAAAATCATTATGTAGCTATGTTGTCTTCAAAATATTGGTGGAATATTTTCATACCAATATTTGCTAGTTATTCGCATCAGGAATGATCACAAATGTCAGCCCAGCCGGAGTGCAATGGGAGGGCCTTGCCCTAGGGAAGCCGCCTTGTTGATCACGGTTAACCCCTACTCCAGGTTATAATACTTTACAATCGTCTAGAGCCAATATTTAAATTCTCTCGTCGGATCGGTAATGAGAGTACGTTATCAATCATTTATAGCGCCATCTCTCGACATCGGTTTGGGAGTGCGTAATATGGAATAAATATCGAAATTTTGATATCGATATGTATTCTCAAAACAATATGTGAACAATATTGCTTACATGATATAGTGAATCACATATCAGCCGATATAAGATGATATCATTTTCTGAATATGGCTAGAAAACTATTCACCCGATATGCAATTGAACTTGAAAATACAATTTTGTTTTTCTCTTCTATATGTCCGATATAAGATACATATTGACTTGCTGTTATTGATATTCATATTTGAATCATTGAAGACCCCTTCAGAATCGACATGGGGAGAATGTTCAAATTGCTATATTGGTTATAATTGTTGGAAACAATATGTATACGATATCTTCCGCGTGATATGGATAGAATGATATTAATCAAGATAGGTGAATATGCTATTTCGAATATTGTTGAAACAATATTCAACCAATATGCCGTCGAACTCAAACATACAATATTGCACAACCGCTTCAGAATCAACATGGGGACAATATTCAAATCGCGATATTGGTTATAAATGTAAGAAGCAAATTGTATACGATATCTTCCGCATGATATAGATAAGATGATATCAATCAAGATAATGTTTCAAATATTGTTAAAACAATATCCAACCGATATGCCGTTTAACTTGAATATACAATATTGCATAACCGCTTCAGAATCGACATGGGGAGAATGTTCGAATTGCAATATTGGTTGTAAATGTCGGGCACAATATGTATACGATGTTGTTGTATCGACATTCGTAAAACAATATTATATAACATTCATAGATATGTTTTTCAACACATTGTTAACGAATTTTACAACCAATATTGCTCCAATATTGTAGCTGACAATCCATTTTCAGCTCAGGTTGAACCAATATTCCACCAATATTATCATTCCAATATTGTTTGTCCAATATACTCTCATATTGGACCAATATTATTTTTCACATGTACGATATATCTATATCGGCCCAATATGAAATCGGGTTCCAGCCAATATGATGTGCTACCTGGGATTCTTCGAGTTGTTAATCGATAAGTTTATGTAGGGTCTGCAAATTAAATAATATCCATACTTTTTTAAAACACTTCTCGAGAAGAAAATATTGACATGAAAAAAAAAACATCGTGTTTGAAAGATCACGCTTCAATCCAAAACATGATGAAGCTAAGTTCAATCACTCACTTTTTCCACAGGGCGATAAGAAGTTAAGTGTGAAATACTTTTGTTTTTGCCTGTATAATGATCAAGCCATCAGCTTCTTCCAGGCTGATATTTAGAAACCTGGAGCTACGATTTGGTAAGAATTTTAATGAAATCGGACAAGAACTAAAAAAGTATATTTCAAGCCATAGTGATGGTGTTTTGAGTCCTCGTATATATATATATATATCTCATTCGTATATTGAGTGCTAACATTTTTCATTAACTATCAGATCGCGCCACTGGAACCTGAGGTCGTACATGACATATCTCTGCTATCAGTTAATATGGCAACCAACTTCATCAATATAAAATGATCCAAAGGCATCATTCGTTTCAACCAAAATAACGAAACCACATGCTAAATATGAACATCAAATACATCCAAACAGTATATTACGAACAGATCCATCACTTGCTTCACAAGAACTAGGATTCTGATATCAGAGTGAAAGCTACTTTACAATTCACAGATGAGATATGTGTCAAAATGCTCTAACCCACATAATATATGGTTCAACATCCCAAACATAATTATGCTGATTCTGCTAGATACTATCCAGAGGCAAGTCGCTCGTCTGGTAGGTGATGCCACACACCACAGAAGAGTCGATGACCTGTCACTTGGAATATACGTCAGACGCACTCAAGAAGCCCAAGCACATCTTTTTGTTTGCAAAAATGTCCAACAACTCTCTACCAAAACTTTCTTGATGAAATGATGAAGCATCACCAGCATGATTTTTCTCGATCATCATAGAGATCCCTATTCTCGTGTGCTCAGAGACATTGAAAAAAAGATCTGACACCTATTGTAGTACCAAATATTCAAATAAAGAATATAAATTAACAGGATATCGCGCATTGCGAAAAATCGTATATGTTATCAGGTGAAATGTCAACCAACTTCATCGATATGAAATAATCTCAAGGTATACAATTCTTCTGAACAGAAATAAAGATAAAATATGCTATAATCATAAACAACAATTTTTTTTATGTTCTGGTTTCCACGAAAACGGATATCCTGTAATGTTCAGAGAACATCATGAGAACCAAGGGAAATAAGGTAGGAATTGGTGTTCTTCTTAAATTTATGGAGGTTATATGCCTCGGGGAACACCTCTATTGTCAGTGTGTTCCAGAGCCTCGCTGTTCGTTGGATGAACGAGTCTTTGGAAATAGATGTTCTGCAGGTCTCCAAAGTGACCACGAAGGGGTGCGAAGCCTTAACTTGATGGGTTAATCTCGCTATGGAGGTTGTATGCCTCGGGGAACACCTCCCTTGTCAATGTGTTCCAGAGCCTCGCTGTTCGTTGGATGAACGAGTCTTTGGAAAGAGATGTTCTGCAGGTCTCCAAAGTGACCACGAAGGGGTGCGAAGCCTTAACTTGATGGGTCAATCTCGCTGGGACTGCCAAGGGAGGAACAATTGTTGATATTCCAGAAGAGCATCGTCCATGGAATATCTATAAAATAGAGGCAGATCGCAAACTTTTCTACGCTCGAAAGAGAAAACTAAAACAGAATATATGACAAACAGTTCCATCACGAATGCTAATGCTCCACAAGAACTAGTCAGACTGAAAGCTACTATACAAAATACAGATACGACCAGTTTCAAAATACAGCTCTACATATAGGGTTCAACGCCCCAAACATTATTATGCTGATGCTCCTGTATTCCATCCAGAGAAGAGCCATTCACCTGGTGGGTAACGCCACCCTCACTAATTCTTTAACATCTTTGAAACATCCCAAAAAGTTGGCGGCCTTTCAGTTTTCTGAAGATACTCCCCGTGAAAATTTATTTTGAAATCTCTGATATCATTTGAGGAAAGTATAATGAAACATGCTTCACATACTCGTGGCGTTTCCATGACGATTCCTTGACCTTTCCGTAGCGTTCCGTGACGTTTCTGCCCAAGGTCATCACGCCCAATGTCACTTCTGCCCAGTGTAACTCCTGTTCAAGGTCACTCCGTCCAAGGTCGGAGGGCAGTGACCTCGGGCGAAGAGCAAGAAACAGTTAATCTTATCTACTTCCGACTACTTTAGCAAGGGATCAAAACGAACGGGAGCCATAATTAAGGACAAACTATAAGTTTTGATATTATTTTGATGTTGTATGATTTTTTTTATGCATCAGTTGTTTAGCTGCAGTTATCCTCGCTTCAACATATTCTGCTCTAGTCAAGAGGTTTGGATTCTTGCGCCAGCAATGATAGACAACAGCACTAGAACAGTTATTGTTGAGCAGGGTTTCGAAGCTGATGATCTTGTGTATTTCCGCGGCACACTACGAAGGATCCTCAGATTCAAAGCATATTCTATGCCCAGAAAAATCGGAGCCAAACATGCGGAGACCGTCCCAGTCTCCTGAGTTATAATGCCATACAAGACGTGGGGGTAAATGGAGTAGTTGGTGGAATGAATAATGGACAGGTTGTGAAGATGAGTGTGTGATCATAATGATCAAGTGGTGATCGTACATCTATGGTGTGAGGTGCTGTTTCTGGCTATCGAGTTTGAATCACATAATATCAAAACTATTTGGTTCCAAAGTTTTTTCTTGATGACATGATCCCTTGAACCTGGAGCGTGCGTGAAGATCGTACCCAGGACAAAGCATATAGGCCGTATTGGTGGATGAATTGATCTCTCAGTCAGAGCCAATATGTCTGGCTTTTCAGTCTTAAGGTGTCGATGAACATCGTTGATGTTCTTGCTCAGACCACGGATGTTACATAGGTCTATCTTGAGGCCTTTCACACCGATTGTATTTTGTCATCATCTCATAAAAGAATACTTCTTCTCATTTTACTCAACAATTCTTGAAATTTACCTATTCGCGTAAGAAACTGCTTATTCAAGTTAACGATTCCTGAACATGGGTAGAGTCTGGTGAAGAGAACATGTTGCGATTGAATGGTGTTAGCGGTGTTATTGCAGAAGTGACTAGAAGTGCTATGACTATCCATATGCGACATGTTATCTGCTTGTGACTAAACCCATCTACCGACCTAATGGAAAGTCCATTCCTGTATATCCAATTCTCAAATGATGATTCACTTCTTTTTACATGATTTTGTTTTGATTTATTCACATTATCTATCTTCTCTCTAGAGACTGTACAGAGTATAACATTCATATCTTGATGGCGGCTAGAAAGAGTCAAGGTGGATTGGAACAGAATTTTCCACTCACTGGTTACAAATATTTCCTCAATCCGGGGTAAAACATTGATGAACAATATTTCAGAGAAATATCGATGTAATCGGCAGTAATTCATTAGCACTCAGTCTACTCAGACCTTGTACAAGAAAATTCCAATGTTGGATCAGGAAACTCATTTTATTTTGAGCTATCAACATTTTTCACTTCTGGATAGTATTTCTCGAAAATTTTCATTGAATTCGAAACGACCATAAAGAAGTACCAATTTGTTTCTCTATAGGAGGGCAAAGCTCTAGAATTCATTGCCCAAGGAAGTATTTCCAAGAACTTATAATCGCCAAAAGTTGAAAAAAATCCAACACCTACCTCCTTTCCCTATCCTTCCTAGGTACGCACGATGTTCTTCGAACATTATAGGGATTCCCTTTCGTGCAGACCAAGCCATAAAAAACAAGGAAACTAATCAAAATGTTTTCTATTTCGACAGGTTCATGATAAGAGTTATTTCATTCGAATTGATTCCTGGCATATCAATATATAGAACAAGAGTTGAGAATATCATCTTTTCTCTTGAATGCCTTTTTTTCTCTTGATCTAAATTTCAAAAATATTTTCATATTCAGTAAACCAGGAAAGATACTGAATAGTGTAATAAATCAGTATAAATCTTGATATACTTTGAAAGTAGTTTAGTCTGACATGGAAAATAGAAGACAAGACAATCTCATTATTTTCTGTCACTCATCTCCATTAGCCAACTCAACTCTAATACAATTGATATGCAATGTGATGTCTAAGGATAAATAAAGCGGAAGCTGGTATATCACAGTGGGTAAGTATAGAGTTCACTCCTTCTTAGAACATTGGCATAACAATGTGCGAACAGCATCTGGTGATCACAAACTGCCTTGAATTTAAATATAAAATATTGATTCAGAATCAATATCTACCTTTTTTGGTGTTTGAATTGGAATGTAGCAACCATGCACTACTGCGATGGTATTTGAAAACCTCATTTCTTCAAAAGTGGATTTAACTGCTTCAATATAATCATCCCTCGGCCATTTGATGAACAGTTGCAGAGTTTCTAATAATGCTTCAGTTACTCTTCTGACCGTTCTTATGGCAGTGGCTCTGGCCAAAGTTGAAACGACCGCAGATGGACGGACCTGAGGAATGATATCTTATTCAAATGATATTTAGGATATACCTATTGTTCTAATCAGATACCTATACTCATCCTTAGATATTTCATCTGGTCTTTAGGGGAGACAGATTGTCTACCAGTTGCATTATCTGCACTTATTTTATTCTTGATCAATGACAGACTATGATCAAAAGTATCTCCCAACATTCTGAAATGCACCCACACTAACATATATATATCACAGAACCAGGAGATGACTCTAATAGAGGTTGAGAAGTAACCGCTTTTTCAGACTACCGATGTCAAGTGTGTGGTTGGTATTTGGTGACTTTCGGACCATACCCAAAATTTCTGCTCAATCGGTTGGAGATGTCTACTTCCAAATTGAATTCAAAGAAGCCACACGGACTAACATACATACATACATTGCAAGTTAAATAGAAGTTTTTAATAAACAATCACGTCCATGTTGATATCGCGTACAGTTATCTGAACGCGATATCAACGGGAACGAATAATGAAGACCAAATACGTTCTTCAGGGCAAAATCATGTATCATGTCCATTCTTTGAAAGTAGGCGTTTTGACTACTTTCACTTACGTGAAAATATTCCAGGAATATTCGAGAAACATTTCTAATCAATATTCTTACTACAAATTTTAGGAATAATATTCAAGGAAAGAATATATTAGAAACTCATATTGATGGAATATTCCATGAGTATTCATCAGAAAATAGGACGTATTAGGCATATTTCAACAACATTTTCATTCTCTCAAATCATTTGGAGCGCACGAATGGGAATCCTTATTATGTTTTGATATTGTGCATCCTAGTCAAGCCTCAAACTGAATCTGAAACAATAGATTCTTGTGAACATCTCGACAATTATTCATCTTTGTTCAAAGTTGTCGGTGGGTTATGTCTCGAAGTCAGTTCCTAGCAGTTAATCAGTTTATTGTCGAATGGGTACAGTGTTATACGACTGGATATAATAACTCTAGAGTAGTCATGAATGTCATGGTGTCCAGGTCTAGTCGAGAACTTCATGACAACATTGAGAATGAACTGTTTTATTTAAAATATTTACGGAAATGCATGAAGGTCTAATTTCAAGAGCAGAAGAACCGAAGGAAGAGCTGGCTTTCAGTGAATTATCGACGAGAAGTTGATTTGGTCTTACTAGTTTGGAGAAATCTTGATCCTATATGCAAACATTCTTCTTGAAATTCCTTTCTGTGAGATATCCTAGAAATCGGCTGTAAAGTCTCATATATATGAAGATTTGTTTGTTTGTACTACCTGCTTAGCTTTAGTTGAGCGAAGCTGTCTGGGATTTCTCACGAATGAACGTTGCCTATATTAATCAGTTTGATACAACATTATTCAGGTCATCAGCCTGAAAGACTCGAACCATTTATCTCCATGAGCTATTCATTGATTTTCAAGGTATCCACAGCGTGTTCTTTGGGAGTTTTTGGAACTCAAATGGGATGTGCCATAGGCTATGTTTTACCACCGATGGTGGTGAGAGACAGTGACAACATTGACGAAATTGGATATGGCTTGAAAGTGTTATGTTGGATATTGACGGCGTCCATGATTCCTGTCACTTTAGCAGTCTTATGCTGTGAGTATGACACTGAGTTACACTGAGTATAGTCTAATAATATTCTTTGAATTCTGGAAACGATTGAATATCAAGGGAAATTCCAATAAAATTATGATGCACCCTGATGCCACGTCGATAAATTTCAATTCATCGAGTAGAAATCTAATTTAGGAATTTATAATTCAAATTTCTGAAATTTGAATGAAAAATGTGATTACTAGTTTTTGAAGGAAGAGGAGAATTTTTCTGGATATTCACGAATGATGTTCGATACATAGGTGTACCGTCCGTGACCAAAAAACTGCTGCTCTCGTATCTTGACATTTTCAAAAGTATCGAATTGGAATTTATAGGAGAGAAATGGAATGATTTTTCATTCAAGAAGGCAAAACTCAACTTCATTCAAGAAAAAGTAGCCAAAACGCTCAAAGTGTGATGTGATGTTAATGAATTCCATGAGTGTTCAAAAAGAAACAATGGTGAATGACAAAAAAAAAGAACTACTGTCTTGTCTGCTGTCACGCAGAACATTGAATTACATCCTTTCGCAATCAGTTTGATGCCTGATACCTGAAAACCAGTTTCGGACTTTTGGCACTCATCATTGTAGGGTAGTCATCAGATCTGAATCTTATTACTCAACATATATCTGAAACGGCGTTTTCGTCATTCGTAAATTATACTTTAGTGAGCTCCTGAGCTCTTCAGATATTTGCTATAGAATTGCGAAGGATTCTGAAAAGTCGCATCTTTCGAGTGTATATACAGTGTATCCCATTTTGAGACTGCCAGGTTTCTTGACTGTTATTGGAGATGAAGCCTTGCGGCTTTCACGTTCTTGGTTTACTTTTTTGTGAATCTCAAGATGGCCTAATCAGATTTAAAATAACTGTTTTCATTTATGAGATATAGGGCGATTTTGAGAATTTATACTTTTTTGACCCCTTCTTTATCTACTCGTTATAAGGTATGGTGTTGAGCAAAAAAAAACTGTCATACAGAGAATATGCGCCAAATTCAGTGATGTACTCATGATAATTTTTCCGGGTTTCGGTTTTCGAGATACGACACAAACTTATGATTTATTCTTCAATTGAAAACCCTGTATTTGTATTCTGCCGCCCTCTGGTGTGTGATGAGAACTCGACCTTCCTGCCGATTGATCGACGGATGACCCGTTAGCTCAATTGGCAGAGAGTTAGGCATGTAACCCAGAGGTTGTGAGTTCGACTCTCACACGGGGCGGTGGAGTTCTTCCATTTCCCATTGTCACTCGAAATTGGGGCTTTCCATCTTCATTATCATAATATGTATTTGCCATCAACTCTATCAAGTTAATCCGGTACACCGTATTTTAATGTAGATATTGTGCCTAATTTCCGAAAATGAAGGTTTATCGAATCTGCCCACAGGTAACTAATCCTTCAGGTTTGGAAAGTAGGATATATGAAAGTTAAGCAAGCCAAGGTTAGTTTAGTTCATTGTACAAGTATATTACCTGACGAAGCTACTGTGTAAGCGAAACATGTCGTGTGTATGAGAATTTTCTGAAAATCTTATCGTTTGTGAAGTTTTTACATTTGCCATGAATTTCATCTAGTAACGGCCGAGTCAATTCAGAATTACATAGGAGATAATGTTGTTTTTATCGATGAATACATGTTGAATTGTATGGAAGTGGCAAACAATCAGGAATCAGGTTAGTGACAAAGTCGCGAGAGCTTGCTCGAGCGATTAATGCACAACTACAGTAGGAAGACAATTAGGTTTGGAAAAGAAAATACGTTGTGTTAAGAAAACTCGAATATTATCTGACGGTAGTGACGGTGACAGTTGTTGTCAAAGTATAGAAATGTGTTGATTGAAAGAAGCAAGGTATGCTTATTTATCGGTTATTGAGGAACACAGTAGCTTTTTATCATTACAAATACCTGGTGATTGGTCAGTTTCAGGAAATTGAAGAAATTTCAGTGGTTCTCAGTAGCTAATAATTTTTCAGCAATTCATCCGATGTTTCCTTTGGAACTGTTGGTTTATTGTTGATAAACTTGATAGTTTTTGTGCTATCGCCATTAGCTATCATTTATTGTAATTGCTGCTTGAGTTGTTGTACTTAATTATTTTTTTTGGGCTCTGGTTTGATCACTGTAATTCTTAATACTTAGTGGTTCTACTGGGGGTTTATTTTTGAGAGAATATTTGGCATCAGAAGGAAATTCTAGCACTACTTTCAACGGCCTCACTTTTGTGGGTGAGAATTTTCCCTATCTGAAGTGTTTTAGTTTACCCTTTCAATGTGGATGTTCTTAAGTGGATTCAATATGCAATCCGTATCTGAAGCAACCCGTTCAGATTGAGTACTCTGTTGAGGCCCTGTCTGTCTTTCCATCATTTCGGTAATTATATCCTCATTATCCAAAGACGATGTTTCTCTCTGTATCGACTTTCTTGAATGTTTTATTGATTCAATTTCCACTTGCATTTCTCTGATTCTCTTTGTTAGAGTTGGTATCATTATTATTCCTATTCCACATTGATTACAGAAAAGCATCGACGGAATTCCCGAAGCTAATAGGTCTGCACAATTAGCACAGCTCCAACGTTTGCAACTGTCACATGACGACATTTCATTACTCTCATCAGGTTTATTTATTTATAACAGAAATATCTGAGATTATCTCGCTTGGAATGGGCACATACAAACCTTATTTTTCGAATAGATCATCACCTACGAAACCCAGGTTCAACAAAACCTGTTCTAGAGCTGTTGCCTTGAAAATAACAGCCTACCACCGTTGACGCAAAAACCCTAACCTTGCGACTAGAGCAGAATACGTTGGAGCCAGGAATAACTGCAGACAAACAATAGATGCATCAAAAGGAACATGAGATGGAACCTAATAGATTGTCCCAATGGATCCCCGTTCGTTTTGGTCCCTCGCTTAAGCACTCGGGAGGAATTTCACTGATAGTTTATTTCCACCACTCTCCAAAGTAGCTGACGGCACTATAGCAATAACATTGCAGGAGAAAGCAGATATTTTCGCAGAGATGTTTGCAGAATTGACACCTATTCTCTGCAAGTTATTTATCATCTCGTACAAGACGCATATTTTTCCATCATGTTGGAAGATAGCTAGAGTCTAATCAATCCCCAAAAAAGAAACCTGCCTAACAACTACAGGCCTATAGCCCTGTTATCAGTAATCTCCAAAGTGATGGAGGAAGCGATCAAAATTGAGCTTATCGAATATCTGGACAGCTCAGGAATCATCAATGATAGACAATATGGCTTTCGCCACCGTATATCAACTAGATATCTATCCTTCTACGTCATCCATATATGGCAAGCATCATTAAAAAAACATGGGGAATCTCTAGTTGTGGCGTTAGACATATCTGAAGCAATCGACTGTGTTTGGCACTGAGGACTCCTTCACAAACTACCATCATACGGCTTCCCATCTCAGCTATGCTATGTCTAATCAAGATTCCTTTGGGGCAGATCCCCTCACGTGATGGTGGACGGTGTATCGTTTGATACCATCACCATCGATTCTGGCATTCTACAAAGATCAATTTTGGCACCAACATTGGTCCCACTTCATATCAATGATCTGTTGGGAGCAACCACTTGCCCTATCCACAGTTCAACAGATGATAGTACTTTTCATACTGCGTTCTCTTCCAGAATTTCCATTTCTTCCCAGGAAACCGAGAACTCACAGCGAAGGCAGGTCATTGCTGTCAATGAAGATGTTGCTGAAATCACAGCCCGGGGATCCAACAATCTAGTTGAATTCAACGCCACGAAAACGCAAGCCTGTATTTTCCATAGACAGGCGAAACTCAGTATGCCTGATATAACAATGTCTGAAACCAACATTCTTACCAAGTCAACTATGCTTGGAGTCTCCATCAGCAATACTCTTTCATGGGATGATCATATCAAGATCCATCACGAAAACTGCCTCACAAAATCTAAGATTTTCATTCCCTGCGAAAAGCTACTTATTCACACCTCAACAGCTTCTCGTAATTTACAAAGCACAGATACGACCTGTTCTAGAATACTGTTCTCACATATGTGGTTCAACACCCGAACATACTCTGATGATCTTAGATTTCATCCAGAGAAGAGCCATTCACCTGGTGGGTGATGCCACATACACTAACACTTTGACAACATTGGAACACCGTAGGAGGTCGGCGACCTTTCCCTTTCTTGAAGATATTTCCACGGGAACTGTTCTTCATAAAATCTCTGCTATCATTTAACGACTACCAATACCAGCCAGACAAACTTGACTAGTGCAGTCAGCACATCCTCTCCTTGTCAATATCGAAATTTGTCGAACACCACTATATCACAACTACCTAGGCAACCAGATGACATCTCAGTGACGTCTTTTCACGTAAGTTGAATGACCAAGGTGACGTCAGGAGTTGAAGTCATATGAAGTGATAAATGACGTGAATAAGTCACAGCCCAATGACGTCATATTGCTCACGTTTATTGACGTCATTCACTTACCAAACTGTGGAGTCGGGCTGACATCGAAATGGCATCAAAATGACGTTCAAATTCCGTGATGATACGTAAAAAAGTTTCCTAAAACATGGTGTGAAAAACACCACTGACCTTTGATGACAAAATATTGATTATGTATTGTTGATTTTCCTTGGTGGTCCCTCCGCTGTCATGTCCATTCAATCGTCTATTCAGCAGCGCTATCATTCAGTATACTCACCCCCATCAGGATGAAATCAGTTACTCATATATGTATCAAAAACTATGTAGTTTGTGTCGGCGAGATGTGAGCAAAGCAAGAATAGTTTGATAGCAAACTATTCTTGGTTTGCTATCAAGCAATGCTATTTGCTATTTGGATGTTAGCGAATTTAGCTTCACTTTCAGTTTTTTCCTACTTTTTGAGTATACAAGGGTTTTTGAAATAGGTGCACATTAATATGATGCAGTCTAAGGAATATTCCCATGATATTAGATTTTTTCTAATTAACCAGAGATATCATCCAAAAAATTTAACAAAATACGAGAAAAAAGTCAAGTACGCCACTTTGGAACAATTTAAATTCAATAATCACTCCGCGTGATTGTGCCTACCGCATGGAAATTTGAACAGAGTTGACGTCAGATTTGTTACAGTGTAGAACTTTGAGTGGAAAAAGAGGTCTAACCTCGAATTTGATTTTCATCCCTGAATTTTTTTATCAGTGCCATTCGATAGTACACGTCAAGCATTCTCAGTGTGTGAAATATTTGCACTCATTTCAATGCCACCCTGTATATAATTCCAATAAAACTTGAATGTTGATTTGGTTCAATAAGTTATACTGATATCAACGTCAGTAGCATATACAGAAAATCACCAAGACGTAGGTACATGTTTCTATATGTGTGTGTGTGAAAAATTTATGAAAAAACGATTTTTTCTGAAAACTTTTCACACTGAAAATGCCCATCCTGTATACATAGGTACATCACATAATATACATGGTTTAGAGATGGTCTGGGAAAACGTCATGAAACTGACGTCTTATTTAACCGATTCCAGTGACGTTCACTCTACGTCGAGATGATGACGTAAATATCACGTCATAGAAAGTAGGTACGTCATAAATTGGTGTATGACGTCTTTTCGAGGAAAAATCACCAATTAGGGACGTCACAGTGACGTGATCCTTCGTGATCTGGTTGCCTGGGCAGAGAAACACACAAAACTTTTTTTTTTATGTTCTGGTTCCCACGAAAAAGGTTATCATGTAATTTTCAGGAAACATCGTGAGAACCAAGGGAAATGAGGTAGGAATTGGTGTTCTTCTTAAATTTCTGGAGGTAATATGCCTCGGGGATCACCTCCCTTGGAAATGTATTCCAGAGCCTCGCTGTTTGTTGGATGAACGAGTCTTTGGAAAGAGATGTTCTGCAGGTTTCCAAAGTGACCACGAAGGAGTACAAAGCCTCAACTCGACGGGTTAATATCGCGGGGACTGCCAAGGAAGGTACAATTGTTGATAATTCAGAAGAGCATCGTCCATGGAAATATCTATAAAATAGAGCCAGATCGCCAACTCTTCTACGGTGTTCCAGAGAAGTGAGTGAGTTTGTGAGCGAGGCATCACCCACGAGATGACTATCTTCAGGAGAAGATTAAAACTAAATATTCCTTTCTAGTGTGCTGCTTATATACTAGGTATATGTTTACCAGACCGTGAAAAATACTAACCGTCAAGTTAATGTTTGTCATGGTTGAGTTCACATGTTAATCTTAAATTTTATATTACTAAACTATATTGAGAGCTATATGGAATAGGTCCATTATCTAAGCTTTCATATGCGTCTAATTTTCTAATATTAACAACTTGCTTAACTAATTTGAGGTTAGTAATATGTGTGTTATGATTGTGATTGAACATATATGTTCGACTACACAAGATTTATCTAACCTGCAATATTTCAAATGGGCTATGTGTTCTTTGAAGATGCTAACATAGTTAGCGGAACACGTGTCGAGGCGTTTAAAAAATCGGTTTGGTAAGTGGCAAAACAGTGTAGTGTATTATCGTGCCAAAGGTTCCAGTTCGATATATGGGTAGAGAAAGCGCTGGAATCCATATCCAGAGGAAGTATTTCCAAAAACTTATGATCTCCAAACATTCAAAAATATATCCAACACCTATCTCCTCTTCCTATCCTCCCTAGATACGCACGATGTTCTTCGAACAATATAGGGACTTCGTTTCGACAGAACGACAGAATTGATGGTAATGGTATCAAACGATACTCCATCCAACATGTTGTCTATCATTGATGATTCGTGAGCTTTCCAGATATTTGATAAGTAAGCTCAATGAGAAAGGATTTCTCCATCACTCCGAAGATGACTGATTATAGAGCAATATGTCTGTAATTGTTGACAGCTTATTGATTCCTCATTTGGGGATTGGTTGGACCTTGATTATATTGTTTGGTGTAATAATCTAATAAATATATAGCTCATGGAAATCAAACAAACATTTCATAATCTCAGTAAACCCTTCCTGATTTTCCACAGCCATGTTGAAATTGAACAGAAAAACCATGTAAATGCCAAGATATTATAATTTCAATAAAGAGTTATTGAACGAACGAGCCTTCATATCACGCGAGGTCCATGGGTGTGGTTCAAGGTTCAAGGTTCAATGTGAGTGGGGCGAATACCGCCCCTCCACTACTACCCCAGATGGTTCTATTGTGGCTCACCCCTAGAGTTTCAATCCACATCTTTTTACAAAGTTTATGGTTGAATCAGGTGAGATTTGTCTGAAATCGATAGATTTCAAATTGGTAAAGCCAAACATATCGAACCTTAGCCTCTCTAAGTAAGAGCATGAGCATAATATGTGTTCAGCCGTTTCGTCTTCCACACAGCAGAATTGACAGTCCGTTTGTTGGTTGAGACCCATTCTTCCCAGGTGATATTTAAGACGACAGTGTCCCGTAAGCAGTCCTGTCAGAGTTCGCTGGTTACCTCTGCTCCATTCTAGGATCTACCTGGTTATATTTTTCGATGGTTTAGGCAGAAACGCTTTCGAATAATTTAACCCTGGTAATTCAGCAGTACGTGAATCTTTTTTCCTCTGCACAGTCCGAGATTGTTGTTTTGGCCACACTTGTGGTGATCCCAAAGCATGGTTCTGGTCCTATGAACACAGATTCGGTTCCCTATTTGGCGAGGATGTCGGCTTTCTCGTTGCCCTCCACCCCCTGGTGTCCAGGCACCCACACCAAAGAAACTCTGTTGTTGGCACCCAGGCATTCTAGGGATTCAATACAGCTCTATACAAGCTTGGAATTTATCTTGCTGGAGTGTGGGGTGAGTGGAAACACTCTGCCATCAACAACTTGAGGAATAAACAAAGATTATCATATTTCACGCATGTATTTGAAAATGTCTGGTGAAATAGCGAGTTGCATGAGGGTACCAGGCGCCAGAGAGATGATGAATTTATTCGAAATACATTGATTTTCTCTGGGGAAGTCTTCCTTTTCCTTTCCAGTTATCCATGACGGTTGTAAATCGTTCGGTATTTATTAACATCACATCAATTTTGTACGAATGAGTCGATATATAAGTTTTCGAAATCAACGTGCAAAGTCAAATAATCCTCGATAAAAGCATCAAGTATGAGTTTTTCCATGTTCCAATAGGGAAAGTATTATAGGTACCGGGTGTTCCAAGTCATCGTGTACCTGCAATTTGTCGCTAATTTGACGAGATAATTGAAAAATTCAAAAACTGCATTGAATGGCATTGAAGTACCATCCTCATGACATATTAACAAATCTATTACATCTGACGGTCCTCTGGCAGCTATCCCCCCCTTTGTATTTTCAAATGGCACCTCCTGTATATTGTCATTGAAAATTGCGTGCCATCCTATAAGAAATACAACGATAGCATATACTTGGTATTTTTTATCATTATAACAAAATCAGCAACATTTAATGAAGTATCAATTTCAACTGAAATAGCTTTCATGCGAATCAAAAAATTAACTAAAAGTCACAGCAAGTGTTCAAAATTATTATGACATGAGAAGCATCGGCTTCTTGAAACAAAAAACATGAGCGGAGGCAATATTTCATTTTCTCAAGGATATAATTGAATAACTTGAAACAAGTCATCAAATGTTGATATTTTTGTTATAAATAGAACAATACCTAGTAAACGCTATCGTTGTATTTCGAATTGAGTGATACGTAATTTCCAATGAAAATATGCAGGAGATGCCATTTAAAAATAAAATGCGGGGGGTGGCTGCCAGAGAACTGTCAAAAATAATGGATTTTTTTACATGTCATTAGTAAGGTACTTCAATGCCATTCAAGAGAGTTCTTGAATTCTTCATTTATCTTGACAACTTGGGACATCCGTTATATATAGGAGTTTCGCTATTACCATATCTAATAATGAGAAATACATTCTAGAATGAATCGAACGTTTATTCCTGAATAATGAAGGTAGGTACTTTATATTTTTTCAGACTTCCCTGACGAGCCTCCCCTTCCACCAAGCAACGCTCAAGCTAGTCTTCGTGAAGTGAAAAAAGAGTTTGAGTCATCTGAGTTTTTCAAATCTGTTAAAAAGCTTTTCCTTAATAGAGGATTTGTTACGCACATGATTGCCTACAGCATAAACGTGGGGGTATTTTCTGCAGTTGGAACCTTATTGAATCAGTTCATTCTCCAACACTTTGAGGTAAGGGCACCATCACCATCAGCGGTTTCAACGATCAAAAATATGAGAAGAGTTCAATTACACTTTGATTAAAACTCACTCCTAAGGAAGTATCAGCTTTTTGAAAGTGCTTCCAAGATAATTATTTCCTAATTATTTTGGAAACGCTTCGTGATGGAATCAAATTTGGTGTCTACCCCGGCTGAACTAAATGTTCCTGTCAAATGTAATAACGAGTAGTTACGGAACTGGGTGAAATATTACCACAAGTCTTGTGTTCGTCAATTTTACATCGATTTGTCGTGATATATAAAGAGTTATTGACCTCAGAGAGTAAAATATTTATATTTTGAAAACTTTAATTTTCCATAGGCAGTCAAAATTGATATCCCATACATTTCATACTATATTGCCAAATCGATGAGAATACAGTAGTATACATATATCAACGCAGCTCCACTCTGTTTATTGCTACGAGTGGATACGTACGCTGTCTTGGATATAAAGCCAATGGAGACAGAGCCATTGTGTTCACAGAAAATCAGAGATAGAAAATCTTCGATAAAATTACATTGTTTCTCAAAATGAAGTAGGTAGTAACTGTCAAATAATACTCGAAATCGTGAGCACAACAGTCAAATATGAAAATCACACCAAGAGGAAGACTACAATCACAATACGAAATTATACAGATCCTGACAAACCTACCCTGACTAACCGTATACTTTTCAATATATTACGGTAATGAGAGATTATTTTATTACTTCATATCAGATTGGCATGTAGTATTTCCAAAGACTATGAAGAACTTGGAGAAATATTTCTTCATATATATGCTTCGTGACTACCAGGAGGGTAATTTGATCGGTCTGAAGATATCAATCTGTTATAAGTGATCAGGCAACCAGATGAAGTTTCTTACACCCGTAGATGATCAAGATGACGTCATGAGTCAACGTCATATGACGTGAAATTAGTGAATCTGATAGATATGACATTATGATATGACCACCAATCTTCTGGATAAAAAACAAAATGATATCCCACTAACGGCACCGTTGAAATGCGCATGAGCTGGATGATATTCATTTTTATTTATTCAGTATTTTCTAGGTAAGTAGGGGAGAACGGTAGGATTTCAAGCACCTAGGGGAAGATTCTTAAAAAAACCGTTACAATTTGAATACGAACCTATTAGGCTTCTTATTGCCCAGGAAGAAGATTTTTTGGACGCACCAATTTGATTGATAAAATATAAAATTCGGAATAATGTCATTGCGCGGGATTTCCTACGTGCTATGTTATATCGCGCATGTGTTGGGGTGGGCTCATTTTCCGTCCATTTTGACTCTTTGGTTTTCCAAACATTAGTACGTGGCATTTTCAATCCTAAAAAGAAAAACAATACTAACCCAACATCAAATCAACAGCAAAGTTTCGCACGGGGTAATAGCACAGTGATAAATTGTCCAGCTATTGGTGCGTGTTATTACCCCGATTTCATACATCTAACCTATCTCATCGCTGCTAGTTGTTGATGAAATATAACTTATCAATTGTAAATACAATGAAGCCAAATAGTTCTGTGATAATTTCACCTAAATTATATAACGAAAGGAACTTTTATACAATTCAGCGTGCAGAAAAACAAACAAACGTCTACTATCTCATGGAAGAAATAAGCTACGATGGAAAAATCACTATGCGTAGAATTACCCCGTGCAGGGAATTCCCCTGTTCTCTCCTACGCAGTTACTAACACGAATATCCTGAATTATTTTCGATTGAAATTCACTGTACCTACCTCAAAAATGTGATAAGTAACACACCATATTTGGCGAAAATTTGCTTCCCACAATCTGAAATGTTCCAGATGATTATTAGTCGTTCCTTTTGCAGTTATAGTAGAGTCACTTGAGTGCATATTATATTGGGACAAAATTATGAGTGAATATGCCCACGAAAAATTTATCACTCCAGGTAGGTATATAGTTGATGAATCAATATAGTATTTTACGAGAGTATAAGCAATATGACTCATCCTCCAAAGAAGAGGGTATGTGTACAGTGCATCCCATTTTGGGTGAGACAGCCAGGTTTCTCGCTTGTTATTTGAGATAGAGCCTTGCGGTTTTCACGTTCCTGTCCTACTTTTTTGTTAAACTCAAGATGGCCTAATCAGATTTTGCATAACTGTTTCCGTTTATGAGATACAGGGCGATTTAGGAAATTTATACTTTTCGGGACCCTCCTGTATCTCCGAAGTTATTAGAAATAATGCTGGGCTGAAAACTACGTCTGATACAGAATTCCGCGTAGAATCCAGTGACGCACTCACTTTTTTTTTTCGGGGTATGGTTTTGAATATACGACACAAACCTATATTTTTTTCAATGGAACACCCTGTATTTTATCACTTCATTGAATTCGTTATTTTTTTCCCTTCAAAATGATGTATGATACTATATAGGTAGGATGTTCAGAAATGCTAAAAAAACACTAAAACATCACATAATGATGATTTCTTGTTAGTGGGCCGTGGATTTCTCATATATAAAAGAAGAATCAATTGGATAATTTTTATTTGAATTTTTTCATAGGAGAGTAAGCAAATGAAGATAATACACTCATCACTAACACGAAAAACAAAACGTTGGTACCTACCTAATAGCAACAAATAAAAAATTCAAATTCATAATACAAATTAGATACAGAAGAAATACCCAATAAAATATTTTTCATGAACAAATTTTCAACATTACATAATATCTCACTGATTGAACTGTTCGAATTGCTGTCCATTTTCCCTAATACATAGTTGACAAACCTTTTCAATACGCCTGAGTGCATTTAATATTATAAAAGGGCGCCTTTGTAAATCTCGGAAAGCTGCCTCTGTTGATGCACGAAGTTCTTCGGGACTGTTGTGTCTATTACTGTATATTTTATTTTTCAAATAGCCTTGGAGGCCACCTGATGGGTCCATGCGTTCCAATCCAACAACCCTGAAAATTTTTTTCTAAAAACCGCCCGATCAATCTTGAATTGTGGGCAGGGGCGCCGTCCTGTTGAAAATGTATGGAATTAAGGAAGGCGAGGGGAACATCTTCCAGTAGTTCCGGTAACACGTCTTCTAGAATTGTCAAGTACCTATTTGAGGTAAGGGATCCTTCAAAAATGCGGTATATGATTTTTGTCCCCAATATGAAACATGCCACATTGAAACCAAATCGACCCTGTTGTTGTCGTTCAAAAATTAAGTGCTGGTTTTCATCATACCAATGCCTTGTATTTTGCCTGTTAAATATACCAGCACTGCTTATATGTGATTCGTCTGACCAAATAACCCTTTTTGCAAAATCAATGTCTCTCTAAGCATGGTTCAAAAACCAATTGCAGAAATTCAAACGTCTTGCTGCATCACCAGGAAATAAGTGTTGGACAATATTGACTTTGTAGGGTTTTAACTTATACTTTTTTAAAATTCTGTGTACCCGTGATCTGGAAATGCCAGTTTCATTTTCTAATTTTGCACAAGAAGTCTGATGATAGGCATGAACGCTAGCTAACATATTTATTTCATCTACTTCTCGATTCTCTCTATTATATACCTTGGGTCGAGGTTTAGAATATGCACCATAATTCTGTAAATTATTCTTTTAGTCTGAATATAGTTGCTCGACTAGGTTGATACCTCTCTGGATATCTGAAAGTTTTCAAATCATGATGTAGGGAAATGTCTCGTGAAATTCTCGACGTCATACCTGTTCAAATAGAGTTCCAAAGCTTCGCCAACGTTTTCATTACATTGATTGAAACATTGTATAATGTCATATTTTTCATTGTTTTGAAAAACCAAATCTCTTCCAGCCATTATCAGTTCTCAATTAACAAATTCACAAACAATTATTTCTACAATATTCAATATTCCTTCAAACCCAAACACGATGATACACAATAATAATTCATAGCGATGACAGCTAGATCAAATTTGTTTTTTTCTCCCAAATGCATAGTAGCCAGAATAACAACAAGGATGTTCGTATCATCCATGACCTACTACTGTTGATAATCAAAAGTAATATCCCTTTTATTGAAAAATCATCATTATGTGATGTTTTAGTGTTTTTTTAGCATTTCTGAACATCCTACCTATATAGTATCATGCATCATTTTGAAGGGAAAAAAATAACGAATTCAATGAAGTGATAAAATACAGGGTGTTCCATTGAAAATATATAAGTTTGTGTCGTATATTCAAAACCATACCCCGAAAAAAAAAGTGAGTGCGTCACTGGATTCTACGCGGAATTCTGTATCAGACGTAGTTTTCAGCTCAGCATCATTTCTGATAACTTCGGAGATAAAGGAGGGTCCCGAAAAGTATAAATTTCCAAAATCGCCCTGTATCTCATAAACGGAAACAGTTATGCAAAATCTGATTGGGCCATCTTGAGTTTCACAAAAAAGTAGGACAGGAACGTGAAAACCGCAAGGCTCTACCTCAAATAACAAGCGAGAAACCTAGCTGTCTCACCCAAAATGGGATGCACTGTACATTGATCGTTAGTTCAATATATTGGGAAACCCACGTTTTTCATTCGAAAATTTTCTGAAGAAATGATCAAAATATGGTGATTGGTTGTTGACGGTAGTATATAAGGATCAAAATATCCCCAGATGGACTGACATCTCGAATGATGCTGAGCGATACTCTTTGAACTCAACTCAGATTATCATTTTTTCCTTCAATCATATTTCAAGAAGTTTATATGTTACCTCCTCATCGTTTCTATGCTATCATACTATGAACTGATTGTACTCGTAATTGAAATTGAGTTGTGTTTTGAAATTATTTTCAGAATGCAAATGAGGATGCAGGAATAATGGGTTTCGTAATGGTAATAGCAGGAATGATTGGTTCTGTTTTGTTTGGTATTATATTGGACAAAACTCATAAATATAAGTAAGTTGCCTTAATCCTTTTGTTCGTGAATATTCCTCTCCTAGAAAACATACGCACTTATATTGAGAACAAGTTCTCAGGACTGTAAACATTCTACCAAACTCTTCAAAAACTTCAGTGTATTTTGAACATCAACTTCTTTGTTGCAGGGAAATAAACTTACTTATATATCTATTATCGGCGCTGAGTATTTTGAGTTTGATGTTTTCATTAGAATATCGATCGAAAGTAATGACATACATTGGTTGCATCATCGTTGGGTGAGTAAATGAGTACTTAAATAGGTATACAGGGTGGCCCAACGAAAACATTCAAAACTAATTCACTTGTAAATATTTTAAACTGAACCTGTTTGAACACATTTCTTGATTACTATCAGCTCGATTATTGTAAACTCATGAATTTGGAATTAGGACCCTTGTTCCTAATGATGATTTGAGAGGATAGCTTGCCACTGCAGAAACAGGGGGTTGCGGGACTGAATAAAATTATCGTTCACAAGGTTTTTCGAGTGGACAGTTTTTGTTGGGCCACCCTGTACATAAATATTTATCGTGGAAAGTTCGTGATCGAACTGAAGAGGTTCAAGAATATTATGTTCAGAATTGAAATGTTACTCGAAAAAATAATATTTTACATCAGAGTGAACTTCTTGAGTATAATGTATATGAAAAATATTCTTTCATTCTTTCGGAACTTATTTTCAAAATCAAAGTTTTATACTATCATTTTATTATTATATGTACACTTAATTATCATGATAATAACGATGAAAATGGGAATGCTGATGATGAAAATGTTTTTCTTCAAACGCTTAACAAAGTAGCCTTTGACGCTTTCAAATTCCAGCACAAAGTTGACGTTTTCCCAGAAATGTCATTCTTTGACAGCATTTGCGCTCGTGAGCGGAAATATTGAAAAAACGCTCGCACATCTCTGTAACCTATACTCGTCTTTTCTTGAAAACCTCCACTTCTGTCATGATGGAAAATAGTGACAGTGAATTATCAAACACACCTCCTTCCTGATGATATAGCAGAAAGCGCAAGAGTTTGAATCTCTTACCGGAGAAATCAAGGAAGAAATATGAATTAGAATATGATACATTCATAAATTGGTGCCCCTCCGAGATGGTGAATATGTATTCAGAAAACGTTTTACTGGCTTATTTTGGTAAAAAATCGAAGACTTTGAAGTCATCAACTCATTGGTCTATATAATCGATGGTAGGTACGTATACATGCTTGAATGTTGAAGATAATATCGGAATCAATAAGTATCTGAAACTTATCGCATTTCTCAATAAACAATCTATTGGATATAAAGCGAGAAAAATCCAAGACGTTCACCGCTAAAGATATATGTATGTATGTATGTATGTATGTATGTATGTATGTATGTATGTATGTATGTATGTATGTATGTATGTATGTATGTATGTATGTATGTATGTATAATAATAATAATAATAATAATAATAATAATAATAATAATAATAATAATAATAATAATAATAATAATAGGTCTTTATTAGGCGAAAGTTTAGTATAAAACTATTCTTACACTTTAACCTAACAATTATAGAAATGAACAAAGATATCATTGTAGCATTCAACGTAATCAGAACTATACTCTGTATTGAAAACAAAGGAAAAAAAAAATCAGAAGAAGAAAAATTCTTGACGAATGTGAGAGATAGATATATTATGAGATATGGCTTTCTATTATGAGTTCAGGATAATCTTTTTGGCTAGAGGAGGGATATAGATTCATTGAGCTTTTCAAATTTTTACAATGAATTGACGGTCAATTGTTTGGTTAGAAGGATTTTTTTTAAATTTGCCCTAAATGAATTTACTGACATTCTCTACAGATGGTCATCTAAATTATTATAAATATGAGGAGCTTCGTAGGCAAAGGAAGATTCGAATTTCTTTGTATAGTGTGCTGGAATATGAATATAATACTGGGCACGAATATTAACATTATGGAGTTGACCGCGAAATCTCAATTTCTCATAAAGATAAGATGTATGTATGTAGGTATGTATGTATATATGTATGTATGTATGTATGTATGTATGTATGTATGTATGTATGTATGTATGTATGTGTTTGTAAGACGGGGTTTACGAGGACAATGGCAAGTTCAAATACTAGGTAGCGAGGACATTTTGGCATGCGAGGACCGAAAAAATGTCCTCGCAGATATCTGTCCTCGCTATCGCCTTATTCAGCTTATTCCGATCATTTCTATACCTATATCATGAAAATTTGATGTGTCCTCGTAAGACGGATCCTCAACGGACGCCCAGTTCCGTCACACACCGATAGGTAGCGCATCGAAAAAACTATATACACAGAGTATCCACCATCTAGGCCTAATGCGAGGACAATCGATACACACTGTGTGTATAATGAACACCAATGGAATGCTCCCATTCAAAATTTGAATGAGGCTGACGGAAACTATACACAACACTCCTAGCGAGGGCACTGAATCCAGTAAAATACATAATATCCCGACAGTTGTTTTCAGTAATAAGGTAGTTTAGCGGAATCGTTTTATAATTTGTGGTTTTGTACTAGGTAGCTCGAAGTATTAATTTGTTATTGTCTATATATTTCAAGAGCTAATGCTCAGTTTTCCTACCACATAACTTATAGTATCAAGATGGAATATGATGTGATGTCTAATAAATAATTTCATCTATTTATTACGGAATGTCCAAACGGAGGACTCATTAGTTTTCTTACTCATGAACCGAAGATAAACGTTCAGATATACCGGGTGACACAGACACATGGTATACTCCCATTTTCTCATTTGTTTTTCTAGCTATATTTCTGGAATTCGGAACATCGCATATGCTCTCTAGAGGACACTTTTACACATTTTCTCACCTTCTCACCTTCTAGTTTTCCAGGAAATGACTTCAACTTTCGATTCACAAACGAAACACCCTATATTTCATTTCATAATTGGTTAGAGATTATTATAACGGATTCTACGATACCAGGTTTGATTGGGTTATTTCAAATGACCACGAAGATATTTGAGTTCGGAGTTTCCATATGATCAATGGGTGTGACGGCACAACATCGAAACTTCTATTTCTGTCATACACATGCACGAAATATCTTGCAGAAAACATTTGCATAAGCTGCCTTCGTGTAGCAAGTCCTGAAATTATTAAGTGAACATGTGAAAAAGAGGGGGTATTCCGGAACAATTATTCAACGTATGCTTTTTCACTCAATGCAATTGAATTATGTGGTGTGCATACATTAAATGATTTTTCCTAGTGAATACAAAAAGTGCATGTGCAAAAAATTTCCACAGCGCATGTGCACGCCACGATTGTATGCAAAGTAGTTTATCGTGATACAAGTTACATACTAAAAATAGGTCTGTGAAAAAGCATACGTTAAATAATAGTTCAACAATACCCCTTCTTTGTTACATGTTCACTCAATAATTTCAGGACTTCTTACACGAAGGCAGCGTATGCAATTATTTTTCTGCGGGATATTTTTTTCAAATTTCAACGAAGACCAATTTGCAAGCATTGAATAATCGTTCAGAATCATCAAAATCCAATGCCAATTCGAATTTGAATGGTAATGACGTTGCATGCGAGCACACTTAGATACCTGTCTAGTACATTTTTTTATCGCTTGGAGCGCACGAAAGGAAATCCCTATAATGTTCAAAGAACATCGTGCGTTCCTAGGGAGAATAGGAAAAGGAGGTAGGTATTGGAAGATGCATACATTGAAAAAACGTTGAACAAAATCTGTCATTACCGGCCAAACTATTAGGAAAATATCTGGTGAAGTTCACAACAAAGTGATAGAGTTTCTCAAAATGATAAAATATACAACGTGTTCAATTTAAAATTTCTGAGTGGCAACTACTTCCTAGTAGAAGCGACAACGCTACAGTGTTTGAAATATTTTTATATACAGGGTTAGTCACGAGCAACATGGCGGACTCTGACTAAATGGGAACATATTATGAAATTTCAGTACACCATCAGTTTCGTAGCGGGCTCTGAATTCTATATACGTTTCTAAAATATTCGGCATACCAAAGTTTCGATTTTTCACGGAACATCCTGTATTTTATTGTATTTCGAGGTTCTACTTGAAGAGTTGATTTCATCGATCTATCACAACATAGCACACTCTCGGTTTAGCGGGCATGATGACGGAGATATAGGGGTGTGAAAAATATATATTTTTATTGTTTAGGAATTTTTTGTCTCGAAACTATTCATTATTGATCATAACGGCTTATATGATACACATCTTGACTTTTTATTCACTGTCTACTGACATTTAACTGAAGCAAATATAGAGTGATTCATAATTTAGATTTCTGAACTACCATACAAATGCAGGATGGTTTGCAATTTAGATTCCTGAACCACCAAACAAATGCAGGGTGGTTTACATTTTTGATTTGTGAACCACCCCGTATTTGTTTATAGTGTATGATGAATTGGTATTCATCGTACAGGTCGTGGAAAGAAATTCAGAATTGAGGAAACCCAATAACGTTTCTGTGATTAGAGGTATGTCAAAACAAATTTCCATCGTTCAAGTTTGAACCCCTTGATTGGGTATAGAAGTATTGAAAAGGAATATTCTCAGACATATTAGGAACATGAAGAAAATATTAAGAAATATACTGAGAATTCGTTTGTGTTCAGTAGATATAATTCAATGTTCATTGTGGCATATAGCCTGGAAAGTAGTTATTATCTGTTGAGTATACCGAGAAAGAATTTATATTTTCATCAGATAGATAATGCGAATTTCAATTCTTCTTGATATGTACCATTTTCCATTTTTTCATGTTCATAATAAATCTGATGAGAATATTCTTTTTCAACACCCTGTATTTGTTTTGATTAAATGTTATTATGTAGTGAATCAAAAGTGAAGATAGGAAGATACAAGCCATTTCGACCAATAATGAATAGTTTTAACACCAAAAATTTCTCTAAAGTTGAAAAACCTATATTTCATCATTCCCGCAAGACTCCAAGTGTGTGATAGATCGAGCTTCTTCAGAAACAAACTGAAAAGGAGTAAAATACATTGGTGAATATTCTCAATACGTAATTTCCAGAGCCCTTCACGAAACTGGAATGATGAAATTTCATTACGATGACAAAAGCGGGAATATGACATGTTCCCGTTTCCCCGTCAGAGTCCATCTCGTACTCGTGATTCACTATGTATAGATCAAAACA